AAGACTATTTGACGACTTGTAGCTTGGTTTTTGAGAATGGCTAGTCTCACTGACAATGCCGACTACGGTGCCAGCGAAATGTCTTAGAAAGTACCAAGTCGACAGTCCTACTCTGGAAATAGTCATGCATACTATAGAATCCAGACAAGATGCGTTCCTATAGTTCTTCGTGTTAATATGACCAAGTTGCGAAAACAAGGTCAAACAACTTCTATACAACGAAAGGAGGTCGCGACTATACAAAAGGCCACACCATCCTGGTATTCATATCTTCGATTACAAAACTAAGGTCAGGATTTCAGTTAATGGTTAATTTGAGTACGAGGCTTTCTAATAACAATCATCCTTTATAAAAGTGGATTGACCTCGTTGCAACTTGGTCGGGAGCACCGAGTCCAAAGTACTCTGACATAACAGTTATCATAATTCCCAGCATCAAACAGTGGACTTATTACATTCTCAAACGTTTCGTCGGTCTCGTAGTCAGCATCATCAGTGAGTGCTGCCACAAATTGGCAAAGTTTATATGTTTGAAACGCAAGGAATTAAATGAGAGACTATCAAACACGGTGAAACATTCATGAGTTTTCTCAAAAAATCAAAAACATAGCACTGGAAGAAACAGACTTATTGGTAAGTTTCGATGCGGAATCGATGTATATAAATATCTTTGAAGAAAATGCGCGAACGGCCCTGCTAGAAATGCTGGACCGAGAGGAGGATATCCTGGAATCACAACGGATCAGGAGAGTGCTGTTAACAGGACTAATCAACTTGACAATAAGGACAAACTATTTGACATTCAACGGGAACATCTATGAACAAATATTTGGACTTCCAATGGGATCGCCGCTCTCACCACTTTTGGCGAACGCATACCAGAAGGAAATAGAAGAGAACTTCAAAAGGACACCGCTACAACCGGCAGTGCTCATGCGGTACCTGGATGATTACTTCGCATTTTGGTCACATGGAAGAGAAAAACTGGAAGAGTTTCTGAATTTTGTAAACCAGATTAATGAAAAAATTAAATTCGCGATGAAAGCAGAGGAAGGTGAGTGGTTACCATTTCTGGATGTTGAAGTGATTCGCTCTAATGGGACGCTCAAAAACAAATTTTTCAAAAAGAAGTCTTATGCTGGGATAATACTCAATTTCCGGTCCCATCACAATTACAGGCTAAAGTTGGAAATAATGAGCATGATCATCCGAAGCCTACGCCTAACGGATGTAGAATTCTGGGATAAGGAGCTGGACAAATTGACGAGGATATTCCTCTACAATGGCTACCCAAGCGAAGTGATACAAAGAAACATACGGGCCGTGAAACCCAATGGCAGAATAGGAACTATAAAAGAACAGTAAGGACGGAAAAGGATTCACCAAATTAGATATGCCTTCCTGCGAATGGAATATTCGGGTGGCCATAAAAGAAAAATCAACACTTCACAAGCCTACCTACGCAACATAAAAGAGTAGACAAATTGGATTGTTCAGGAGTTTACTGTATATCATGCGGCGCCTGAGAACAGAAATATATTGGCAAAACAGGGAGAAAAATTAGCACATAAATCAAGGAAAATCAAAGACTGCAGGAAAATTAATACCGAAAGATCAGAATTAGTGGAACACATCGCAAAGACTGAACACGAGCTCAATTGGAAGACAGCAGAAAGAAGGGCCTCATACGGTAAAAACACACAGAAACGGAAGATTAGGGAGGCCATTTACATCATTGGAGAGACAATCTAATGAACAGGAAATTGCAGGAAGGTCGAGTTACCGATAACTTTGCCTACTGCTTAAGCAAACTCGTGAAAAACAAGAATAGAGCAACACCAGCAAACAGGAGACGCCAGGATCAAGGATCTATCGCTAATCGGAGGAAAAAGGATCGCCATGAGAAAAGGTGTATTGGGCTGAGATTATCGGCAATCAAGCGAAGACGTTGTCAGTGAGTGATGTCTGTTCGAATAAACCAGTACAAATTTGGTAGCCTGGCAGTCAGGGAGCTAGGCAGACGGATAAGCAAACCGTCACAGAAATTTGGCGTTATGGTCTAAATGTACTAGAAATCTACTTGAGATGCCGAATGCAACAAGAGATAGACGTCCAAAGTTTACTCAGGTAACACGGGTTTAATAAAGGAGACGACCCGTGAAGGCAATGCCTGACATCTGCAAGCATGGCAATCAGAGCCTAGGTGCTATGCTCGGTGAGGCAGCAGTATAAGTGCTTCTAGGGCCTTGAGAAATAGCGCCTGGAGTAAAGCGCACACGGGGAAAGAAACCGATTGAAATCGGTCAATCAGAAAGATAAGGAACGGATGTACGAGATCATGAGGGAGATCCGGATAAGAGGCCCAAGTAGATTAGCCGATCGAAAAAAAAGAAGGTTGGAGTGAATAGCAGGTATGATGAGGCCACACTATATTTGCCAGGAAAGGACACACATTTTGACGAGTGGAATGTAAACAAGTGAGAAGTTGTGATAGGGCGGGAGTTTGATGAGAGAGTAAAGAGTAGATAGATGGGCCAGTGGGGTGATAGTGTGACCGTTTTCGGCAAAACGTTTGTCGAGGGATTAACTTCACTTGTCTCTGACGGGTTCATAGCTTGGTGCGGAGAATAGCAAAACTCATCGATGATGCTGACTATGATGCCGGGAAAAGCTTGAGAATGCACCAAGTCCACTGTCTGATGCTGGGAATTATAATAACTACTATGGCAGAGTACTACAGACTAGGTGCGTTCTACTAAGTCGCCCGGACAACAAGCCCAGGCTGCGATAGAAGAAATAGTGTGAAATTTGGTAAGGAAACCCTGACGAATATGCCCAATCTAAAGAGAAATTTGATAGATTATTCAAGAGGTCGCTATTATTGGATTGTGTGTTCATGCAGTCGCCCTTATGTTACTAAACTATGTCGCCGAAAACAAAATGCTTAAAAATGCTGCTTGGCCCAACGGTAAGAATTGACAGAGCATATTGAGAAAACCAGACAAGTCATAATGATTTAAAGTGCATCGATTTGCTGACAATGGTGACAAAGTGTGTTGCGAAACACACCATAAGGGAGACTAAGGTAATTAATAGATAAAGGAATAGGTAAGTGTAAGAATCTAGGCTAATTATTCATTATCGAAGATATGAAGACCATGATGGTGGCTTTTTATATGGTCGCAATCTACTCTCGTTGTATAGAAGTTGTTTTTCCTTATTTTATAAACTTGGTCACATTGATAGTAAGACCTAGAGGAACACAACTAGTCCAGAGTCCTTAGTATGCACTATAATTTCTAGAGTCGGACCGTGGATGTGGTACATTCACAGACCTTTCGCCGGCATCGTCGGTGAGTCTTGCCAGTCTTAGCACCATATTACAACTCGTCAAGGAGACAAGTGAAGCCGATCCTTTGACCAATTGTCTGCTAAATAATTGTGGTATTTGTCCTTCTGCCATAGGCAATTTACCAGTCCTTTATCCTCGTATCACTCATCCACTATCACAATTTCTTATTTAAACGTTGCACAATGTGCTGTTTTGAGAGGATTTCGTGAGAACTCTCCAATCCCCACGCTGGCTTCCTCACCCCCTCACCCCCCTTCATCCTTGTGCTGGGAATGTTAATCAGTTTGCCATAGTATTCCGCAATCCTCTTCCCATAGGCCTTATCAGAGTCTCCCTCTTGTTCTGTAGGATCCGCCTCCTACCTTCCTGGTTCAAGTATTTCACTCCACCCCTGCCACCCCTTCTGTACTACTCTAAGCGTTATTTCCCACACAGTCTTAAGCCTTTGTTGCCAAGCCTACTCCCGCCTCGCTGAGTAGGCCCCTGAAAATAAAGATTCTCAGGCTGGATTGGAGACTAACTTGATATTAAAGAGCCCAAATAATTCTCATGGTGAGGCCTTTGCCTTATGGACCACGTCTACGATCAAACACATTATCTTCAGCCAAATAGCTCTAGTCTCTACTGTGCTTCTATCCATAGTGCCAGGTCTATGATTTCCTATGTTCTAGTCTCTTATGTGCCAACTCACAAATGTTGTGGTTCTACTTGTTTTAATTAGGTTCAATGTAGTATGCATGATAAGTGGTACATTCCCAGACGTTTTGCTGGCATCGTAAAATTTTCCCACAATTATAGGAATAGAGCTGACGTTTCCATTGAATTACACATAGCCTTGCTTTCCTAAAGGTTGTTATCATCCAGAGTGGACTGCAGCTTCAACCTCGCCTCGGCCTACTACCAGTCCTTCATCACCTTAAACGAAATAGTGTGAATACATCTCATATAACTGATTTACTGATAGTATATACTAAGAATACCTCTGTAATACTCTGATTTACACAAGTAATCCTACACACACTTAAACTTAAGCTTAGATTAAAGTTAAAACGAACCAGCCAAATCGCAATTACTCTATCTCAT